GTACCGGGGATCGCACTTGGGTCCTTGTGCTTGCGAGACAGGTAGTGGAACCACTGAGCTCAATCCCCGGTCCTATTATTACTTCTTAAACAAGAGCCCTGGTCTTTGTTTTTTCTTTGTGCTTCAGCTTGGCACCAGCTCCATCCTGCTGCATTTGAAGAGAAGGCTGAGGTAGTGGGGGGCAAAGCTAGGGGCAAGTCTGGCTGGGGGAAGATGTCCTTCCTGCGTCCCTATCCCATGGCCAAGGAGCTTGGCTTGCTCAGTAGTCACATGGAGGACTGTGACTGGTTTCGGGCTCCTGCTTCCTGATAGAAACCTTGGCTCCATCTTTACTGTCGTGTAACCTTCGGTGAGTTACCCTCCTTGAACGTCTCTTAATCTGGAAAATGGGGCTAGCAGCAGTAGGGACGAGTCCCTGTCACTGTGCTCATCAGGTGCCCATTGAGCAGGAGCTCAGTGAGCCCCTGCTCTTCTGATGTTGGCAGAGTGGGTGGATAGCTGGAGGGACTTACAGCCTGCCCACAGCTCAGCTTGGTTCAGAAGTTGCAGGCTGTTGCTCCAGTTCAGGTAGCAGAGGAGAAAGGTGTGCGTGCTGTTGAGGTACGGCAGGGTGACGGTCGATTTCTGGGACCCATCAGGCTGTCTCTGCTGCCTGCCTTGCTGCTGCAGCAGCTCTGTTCCCAGCCTCCATAGGATCCGTGGCTCTGGGTCCAGGTGGCTGCAGCTCTGGCTGACAGTGCAGGAGGCCGTGACAGGGTCCCCGAGGCGCACGATGTGGGCAGAGATGCTGATGTGACTGCAGTTCTCCAAGCCTGGGTGGGAAAGAACAGACCACGTGGGACTCCTGTGCTTGGCCGATCTAGGGGAAGTCTAGGCCTTGTACCCCTAGACTTGGGGGGCCCTCACCTGCCTGCCTCATCCTTCCAGACATGGGGCTGGGCTGGGAAAGGTGCATGTCAGCGTGGCAGGAGGCTGTGGGAGTGGGACAGAGATAGCGGTGTGCTGGTTGATCATTATCGATTGGCTCTAGGGAGATAAACAGGTCCTGCTTTGCAGTGGGCGCCACTTCCCAAGCTAGAAACACTCCCATCCCGCCTGAGTTCCAGCTGCCAGCGTGCCCTCGCTGAATGGAGACTCAGGGAGGGACAGGCACTCAGTTCCGGCAAGCTGGCTCCAGCTCCCCACCAGAGAGAGGCTGCTTCCCGCCCCCGTGCCCTTTCCGAGGATGGCGAAAGCAGTGATCGCAGTGATAACAACTCCGCAGCCACAGCAATCTTTTCGAAACTCAAATCTGATCGTGCGGTCCCATCTCGGTCAGAGCACTTCAGTGCCCGTCATTGCTCCGGAAGGCGGCGTGGTGCGATGGGCCAGCACCTGGTCCCTGAGCAGATGGCTGAGGTTTAGTCCTGGAGCTGTGCCCAACTCATTATGTGACCCAGGCATGTGGCACTGAGACTGTCTACACTGTGCTCTTCTCATCTGTAACAAGAAGGCCGCACCTTAGAGTTGCTGGAAGAACAGAATGTGACAACATGTGTAAGGGACGGAGGAACTGTGGCTGGCTTGGGGGACGGAGGTCCAGATCCTCCACTGCCCTGTGGTCTGGCCCCTGCTCCCTCTCAGCTGCAGCCCTGTGGCTGTCTGTGCCATGCCTGGGAACCTCTGTGATCTCGCCATTCTCTGGGCTTCTGCTCCTGCTCTCCCCGCTGGGCCGCTCCTTTCCCCGCTCACCTGGTTAGCATTTGCACGTGTTGGGGAGCCAGGCGTCTTGAGCAACCAGGACAGGTCAAGCCTCTGTCCTTTTCCGAAGCTCTTGTTTTCCTTTGTAATTATAGTCATGATTGTGCCCTTGTGTCTGTCTCCCAGGTTCTGTTTTTTTGAGACAGGACCTCACTGGATAGTCCAGACTGGCCTTGAACCTGGTGATCCTCCTGCCTCAGCCTTCTGAGTCCTGGGATTATGAGCATGCTCTGATTCTAGGTTCTGTGAGGCCAGAGACTGTGACTGTTTTGCTTCCTGTGCCCGGCACATAAAGGGCTTTTGGGGGCTGTTTCCTGAATAAAGAAGTGAGTCAACACGCCTATAATACCCCCACTCTTCTCTTAGACCCGTTTTATGGATGGGGAAGCAGAGGCCCTAAGAGGAGACAGCAGGTGGTTCAGAGTTACAGAGCAAGTTCATGGTTCTCAATGCTGGGCTCTTACTCCTTCACAGACTCAGAATTTCCAGCTGGAAGGAAGTTTATAAGACGTTCACTTCCGAACTCCATCTGATGTTGTGTCCTCCATCGCAAGGGAGGGGCGGCTTGTTTTTATATGGCCTGCTAGCTAAGAATGCTTTCTATATTTTTCAAGGGCTAAAAACAAATAAAAGCTGGATAAGAATGACAGAGACTGTGTGGCCTGAACAGCCTGAATGTTCCCTTCTGTTGATCCCGGCCTCAGCTTGCTTCCGCTTGGAGATGGGCTACTTTCCACCTCTCAAGACAGTTTTCTGGGAGTTGGAGAGCTTCCTTACTTAGGGTAGAACCTGTCTCCTCGTGGCTTCTTCTACTAGGATCCTTTTGCCGCTCACCGAGGCTGCACAGGACCCAGAGGTCCCTTCTGACAGCCGGCAGAGGTTTGCAGCAGGACTTGGCGGCCCCTGCCTCTGCCCTGCTGCCCAGCCCCTGTCCTTTTGCATCCCTCTTGGTGGGTGAGGCCTGCGGGTTGTTGGGATTTTCTGGGATTCCCAGCAGCTGTGTGGCGGTGCGGGGCCCTTCTCCCCACCCCTCTCCACCACCGTACTTACTTCCAGGGAGGAACAGGATGATCAAGGCTGCTCCGGTCAGGCCGCCGGCTCCCAGCCCCGCCATTGTGCCAGCGGGTGCTCACCTGGAGGAGAGCGGTTAAGGTCACGGATTTGGACTCGGAGCTGAGCTTCATCCTTGCTCTCTCACAGTGCAGCCTTGGCTAGTTCCCTTGGCTTCTTACTCTCAGTTTCCTTTCAGAAATGAAGATAACAGCAGAGTGCACCGCACAGCGCTTTGGGAAGATGACACAGTCTTGCAAGTCAAGGGCTTTGTGCTGTGCCTGGCGATGGGAAGTGACCGCCACGATCAAACCTGTCTTCCAGGACGAGCGGGGGAGGCAGCAGGAGGAGCAGCGTGCCGCCCCTTCCTTCTTGTCCAAGCGGGGCCCTCTCCAGAAAGCCACACCTAAGCCAAGACTTTCATGCGGGCAGTGTGTTCTAGGAAGATTCCGGAAGCAGGTGAGGAGAGGAGGGAGAGCAGAACGGGGAGAGGAGGAAGCCGGCACAGGGTCGTGTCACGGGCTGGCCGCGGGAGACAGCTCTGCACTGCTCACAAAGGGACAACTCATCCTTGGATGGGGGAGCACAGGGATACTTATCCAGCGTCTCCTGCCCCTGTGGTCAAGGGGTGCCCCCCGGGACGCTAACTCCCTGGTAAGTTGAGGCTGGACATCCACGAGCGCCCGGGGACCTCGTGGGTGAGCCATCCAAGCACCTCAGTGACACTGCTCCAGGAGCCCCCCAGAGAGCCAGCAGGGGGATGCCAGGTGTCACCTGCGGGACGCTGACTGCCACAGCAGAGGCTAGAGGAAAGGCGGCCTGGGACGAGACCACTGGGGACACACGGGGACAGGTAGACACCCCGCCCCCCGTGCAGACCTCTGGAGGCCTGCGGCCATGCCACGGTCCCCACATAGGAGCCCCGACTTCTGTCTTAGGAAGTATGTGAGCGATTCTCTCACTGGGGCGCAGTCTGACCGAACTCTCAGTCCTGCTCCCACTGAGGCCTTGGGCACTCCTTGGTGCTCTTGGTGGCTGTCATGCCTGGGTACACGTGTGCACATGGCAGCCAGCAGACCCTGTGCTCAGCAGGGAGAGTGCCGGGAGGATCTTTCTCTCTCTTGCCCAGACAGAGGTTTGAACGAGTGGCCCAGATACCCAGAGCTGTCCCTGCTTGCAGGAGCCTGTCCCCAGCCCTCAGTTTATCATGTACTGCAGTATCAGGATACTGGTGCCCACAAGTCACCACTGTACAAATCAGTGGGGAAAAAAAAAGTACCCCTGGTAAGCACCTCTGGTACTGCCCCATATTAGAACCTAGTAATTGGAGGACAGGTTGGATTAAATCCTCCACCAGGCAGGTTTGTGCAGTGAGAAACCTGTACAACTGTGCAGAGAATTCCTTTCTACTTAATCAATGGTTGGTAACTTTCTTACTACAGTACACCCGTTTGATTATCACCCTACCCTTCCCTTCACTGGTTGGGGAAGACTGAGCTTCCTAGGTCCAGATTTTGGAAGTCACTGCTTCCTGTCTCTGTGTATTTATGATCATACCTCGGCCTTGCTGCCCTAGCAAGGGACGGCTTCAAATCAGTCAGGTGTCCCCTTATCCTGCCCCACTGGCTTCTGCCCAGGTGGGCAGCTGCACCTCGAGAGGCCCACGCATCCTCCCCTGGTCGCTGGCGTGTTCAGCATCACCCCTTGGTGCGCCCCGCCAGTGCTGGGCCTCCTGCAGCCCAGTGCATGGGAGCTGGTGCCTGCAGGAGAGCGTTTTACTCTGGTGGGGTGAGGTGTACAGTATGCAAAGGGTTTGGGAGCCCAGTTTGAGCCAAATCGCCTGACCTGGCCTACACTCCACCACTTACCAGCTTTGTGACCTTGGACAAATTACTTCACCTTTCCAAGCCTCAGTTTCCCCATCTGTGAAAAAGAGGTAACAATAGCCCCTCGCTTCTGGTGGCCATCATGACGGCAAAACAAGGTCATTTGTTTTGTTTTGTTTTGATTTTTGAGACAGGGTCTCACTAGGTAGTTGAGACTGACCTGGAACTCACTATGTAGCCCAGGCTGGTCTGGAACTCACAGCGATCCTCCTGCCTCAGCCTCCGGAGTGCTGGGATTAAAGGCGTGAGCCACCACGCCCGGCTAGAAACAAGGTCATTTGAATGGAGGCCCTCAACACTCTGCCAGGCATGGGCAAGACCTGTGCTCCCAGCAACTGCCGGTCATTGCCATGAGCCACGAAGCAGGGCAACCCTCACGGACCCCAGCACGGCTCAGTGCCCTGGCGGCACTGCGAGGGTACAGGCGGCTGTGACTGCCACCTTGTTTCTGTCCGTGTCACACCGCCCAGCCCCCAAGCCCCAGTTCTGGGCTCCACCTCTAACCCCTCGGCCCTCAGTCGGTCTGTGTTACGTCACACCTCTGCTCAGCCTGAGGCTGCCCCTGTTCTCTGTGCCCAGCACATCTGATGCCACCTATAGTCTCTACCACCCCTACCCCCTTCTTTCTTTCCTTCCTTCCTCTTCCCTTTCCTTTCTTCCTTTCTTTGTGGTGCTGGGGATTGAACCCAGGACCTTTGTACTGAGCTACATCCCCAGCCCCTTTTTATGTTTGAGAAAGTTACTACGGTAGATTATCTGGGATGTGCTTGAACTTTTGATCCTCCTGCCTCAGCCTCCCAGAGTGTTGGGATTTCAGGGATGAGCCACATCACCTGGCTACTTCCTTGGTTCTTTTGAAATTCCTTCTATAGGAAGAGCTAGAGAGGGAGGAGGGAGCTGGGAATAAATGCAAGGAGAGGGGCTTCCCAGGGACAGGGAGAGAGAGAGAGAGAGAGAGAGAGAGAGAGAGAGAGACTGACGTACATACACAGTCGGATATTAAAGAGACCTGCTTGAATTACAAATTGAGACCTTGTTTTAAACAAAAAGAGCCCAAGAAACACATGTGCTGGGCTGGAGGAGCTCAGGCTGGGAGGCCAGGAGGTGGCTGGTTCCAAGTGGTGAGGCTGACAGACAAAGAGAAGCATAGACGGAGGGAGGCCCAGGGAGCCTCTGAGACGGTGGGAAATCATTCGGGAAGCAGCAGAGAGGGGTGCAGACCCGTGGGCTCGGAGAGATGGAGGCGTGGAGAGGAGAATGACAAGGGGCACCCCTGAGCCCAGCTGTGTCCCCAAAGAGAGGTGCGGCTGTTTGTGGCTTCCTTGAGCAACACTCAGAGAGGCACTGTCCAAGGCTCCCGGTTCCCAGGCTCCAACCCCCAAGGCAGGAGCCCGGCCCAGGCTGAGGCCTGGATGGTGCCTGTGGCAGAGCTGGTGAGTGGCCCTGGGCCTCCTGGTCTCCACCTAGCCTCCCTGGGGGTCCCCTACTCACGCTGCAGCCTGGGCGGGCCAGCGGGCACACGGGCCTCCCGGTACTCGCCTCTCCTCCACTCTTTGAGTCAAGTTCCTGAAACCTGCCGCAGTCTGCCTTTTCGTCCCAGCTCAGCTCTTTCGTTAATGACAGCCGGGGGACTGAGGATTGCGACATCTTCTGCGTGCTGGTGCGCACACACGGGCAGCCCCTTCCTCCCAGGAAGGAGCCCTGGGGGAAACTGGTGAGGCCCAGCAGCCTTCCTGCCTCAGGGGTCTTAAAGGGCGGGGGAGTGTGGCAATAGTGCCCCCTCCCCTGCCTCTGGATTTCCTGAGCCTGGAGCTTCCAGCCTGAGCTGTCTGGGTGCCACGCTGCGTCCCCACCCTGGGGGGGCTCCAAGGCTCCCTCGGCCCCCAGCCTCTTTTCCACATGGGCTTTGATCCTCGAGGTTGCGGAGGCAGGGAGATGCATCTCACACTGTGCACTGTGTCCTTTCACCTGCATCCTGCTGCCACTGCCCACAGACTGGGCCCACGGAGAAAGGGGTTTTGGGGACCAAAATAAGGTGTGTCCTGGTGAGGCCTGGGGGCTTCCTCCATTCACCAAAAATTTCTAGCATTTACTCACAGGAGACCTGTTACACTGAGTATTTTCGAACTGAGGGAAATATATTTTTTTTTGCCATGGGTTATGTGTATCGATGATTCTCCTGCAGTTTTCTCCCTTGCAGTTGTTTACGAATACTTTTCTGAGGAAGGCCTAGGCTGCTCAGAGTTGACCAGATTCATGACCCAGGAAAGGCACCAGCAGGCCGGCAGCATGTCCGTGACCCACGACTCTTTTAGGGAGAGTGGATTTCTGTGTCTGGTATGTGGGATGAGCCTGGGCTGCAGCTCTGTACACTCAGCAAGGCTTAGTCCTATGGACGCTTTTCAGAATAGACCCGGAATCCTGGGCATACCGGTGTTCATAGGAAAACTGAGCTTGGCTCTATGAATTTTTTCATGATAATGTGTTATAAATATAAATGCCACTTATGCCGATTCTGGCTCTGTCCAAGACACTCTTACTCTTCTCTCTTGCGAAGACTGTTACAGTAGCCTCTTCCCCGGTCTCCTATGTCCATACATACTTGTCTCTCTGTCTATTCCTGTCCCTTTAGCAACCAGTGTCATACTGATCAAACAGAAGTCAGATCATGTCACCTTCTTCCCCAAAGCCTCAAATGTCTCCCATCTTGCTTAGAGTTGAACTCAAAGCCCTTTCGGTGCGAAGTTCCCCCATTGCTTGCCAAACGCCCCTCTTGGTATTCTCCCTTTTACTAATTTGGTCCAGTGACTCTGTTTTCCTTGCCATTTCTTGAACTCGTTAGGCTGCCTCAGGGCCTTTGCACTTGGCGATTCTTTGGCTTGGGAACCCCCTACCCTCAAATACCCACCTGGGATTATTTCCTTCCCTTCTCCAGGTTTTTGTTCAAATGCCACGTTCTCATCGATGTCTTCTTCGAGCAGCCTTTTAGAAAACTACCATCTCTCCTTTTCTCCCTGTCTCCTTTCTCCTGTGTCCCTTTTCACCATCCGATATTTTCTGTCCCCATCTCCAAGGGAACGGATATTCCCCAA